TTAAAACAACTTTCTATTAATAAACAAATCATGAGTCATCTAAACAAATATTTTTTTTATATATATAAATTTTATTATAAGTTTGAATATGGAGTGCTTCTATCTAAAACTTTTTTTTTACTAAGTAAATTACTTTTAGACTTATAACAAATATTGTAAAGCTTATACGAATACATTTAATAGTAGTAAAAATATTAAAATTGGCTTGTAGTTCTTAAGAAATTGTTTAAAAACTTCTTTTTTACATATAAAATTTTGTTAAAAAAATTAATTTTTTTAAAGAAAGTTTATATATAAAAAAGTTTTTTAAAGATTTCTCAAGAACTACTAAGCTGATTTTAATATTTTTACTACTATTATATATATTTTGATAAGCTTTATAACTTTTGTTATAAGTCCAAAAATGATTTATTTAATAAAAAAAGTTTTAGATAAAAGTATTTCACATTTAGACTTATAGTAAAATTTATATATAAGAAAAAAATTTGTTCAGATTACTCATAATTTGACTATTAAATTATAAGCTTATTGCAATATATTGTCTTACAAGTCTATTTCTGTATTAGGATCTAGTAGTAGTTTAGTAAAAAAAATAGTCTCAATAAGTAGAGTAGCTTGTTATCTGTAAATTAACTAGAAATATATAACTAGTTATAGCTCAATATACTAAAATAATAGGAGGTACAGTTAACTCTCTCTAAATACATATTATTGGACCAGGCTCTAGAGTATATATTTAGAGAGGGTTGCAATTAGAGAATCACTAATAATTTTGTGATATGATCTGTATCACATGACAAATCATTGGCTAATAATAAATTGTAATTTTTATTACTTATCATTTTTAATCTATTGTTATATATACGCATGTACATAAAATTTTTACACAGTATAAGCTTTATATTTTTATTTGAAACAATAAATTCAGTTTAAAACCAATATATTCAAGGAAAACTCTGCTAACATTTAATATTAAACTGCTACTATTAAGAACAAATAACTAGTGTTATTATGAAGATTTATAATTTTTTTTTTTTTAAGCTAGATTTATAATTTTTTTTTTTTAACAAAGCTAAATTTATGATTTTTTTTTTAACTAAGCTAGATTCAAGAAAGATAGTTGCATTTCAAATTTCTGGTGTAAAGTAAGTTTCAATATTCGTTTGTTTAAAAGCTGCATTTTGAAATTTTTTTACTTCTCTTTGTAATTTTAATAAAGTTTTATTATTAAAATCTTGTTGTATAATATATTGCTTAATTAGCTCTATTGTATTTAGTGCTTCATGGTGAGTAATTAAACGCATTTCTGTATTATCATCTTCATCACTTTTATTTTTTGTAAATTTTAGATTAGTGGCTTGGTTTAAAATTTCTTGATCATTAAGTACATTATGTATATGCCTTTTTCCAAGTAGTTAATATATTCCTTAAGATCTATTATATTCTGAAAGTTAAGTGCTTCAATGTCTGTATTTAGTTTCTCTATCAAATTATCATTGTTATTATCAATATCAGATTCTTCATTTTCTTCATTATCTTGATCAGTTGGAAGGATTCCTGTATGCTGAAAATAGTTACACACTATTTCTGATGATACTTCTCTCTATGATCAGTCAATAAACTTTATAGCACCAAGAACATTCAATTTATCATCTTTTCTAGCTTTATACTGATCAAGTAGCCATTTTATAAAGTGGTATCTATAGTAATGTTTAAAGGATATGATGATACTAGTATCCAGAGGCTAAATATAAAATATAGTATGAGGAGAAAGACAGCAAACAGTTGTATTGTGAAGAGTTAAATTTTTATAAAAGTGGCTTGATGCACTATCTATTAGAAGAATTGTCTTGTGGCCAGCCATTTTTAAATCAAATTCCTTGAGCCATTTTTGAAACAAGATAGTATTCACCTATACTTTACGACTTGCTTCATATGTAACACTAAGTTTATTGTGATTAACTTCTTTGAAACAGTATGAATTAGAAGATTTACTAATTACTAATAGTTTTATTTTATCTGTATTATCAGCATTGGCACAAAGTGTGACAGTTAATCATTCTAGATCTTTTTTTTTCTCTTTAAGCTGAATTGTAGCTAGTGTAGTATTTGGTTCAAGGCTAAAAAAAAAAAGAAAAAAAAAAAAAAAAAAAAAAAAAAAAAAAAAA